GTGCGCCTTCCGCGGGGCCCTACGAACGGCCCCCAGCTCCTCCCGTCCCCGCGTTCATGCACCCAATTTAAGGAGCTCAGATACTTCCTTTGACGCACGGACCTAAATACTAAACATTGTCTTCTGGATGCTTCTTTATAATTGTTAGTGGCACAGAACAGCGTTAGCACACACCGGTTTTTATGAACATTTCATTGAAGTGTTATTGCAAGTGCAGCCCTCGACCGCTGGGTGGTTTTCCAGTGAACTCGCTCACACGGCTGCCGTTTGCAGGGAGGCGAGTTTACTGGGTCCGCTCTCTGCTCACCGGCCGGCGGGCGAGGACGGGAGTCCCAGAGGGTGCCTTTGTTTTGTGAAGGCGAGGACCCCGCGGAAAGGAGGTAGGGGAGGCAGAACGCGATTCTCCTAAATGCAAGTTTGCTCTCAGATCTGTTTAAGCAAAGAGAGCACAGCCAACGTTAAGAAGCAGAACGCTGGCTCCTTTGAAGTTAACCTTGGGAAGTGGTTGTGTGTGCATACTTCACTTGGAAGGTTCCTACCGGGAGGCCAGAGGACACTGTGACTTGGGCCAGCTGCTTCACCTCGGAGCCCCAGCCTCCCCTGCTCTAAAATTGGCATAAAAAATGTCAGGGTCAGGAATCATGGCCCCATCACATAGGAGAATTTAAGGAGGGTTTCTGAAGGGAGAGTGGGGAAACGGTAGAGGTGGTGTTTTAACCTGGAGGGGTGACATTGGAGTTGCTTCCACCCCTAGACAGCAAGGCACAAGGGGAGGGGCAGTTACAGAAGACAGCAGTGCCATCTAGGGATCGAGCGGGGCAGGGAAGTCACCCTCCTGGCCTCCTGCTCCTCCAGTCTCTGCCAGAGATCGGGAGCCCAGGGGCAGGTCCTCGAAGCAGCAGGACACCCATGTGCACTACTGCCCGCTCATACAGTTATTGTAAGGAATAAATATAAAAGTTTCTGTACAAGGTCAGGCTGAGGTTCCTGGCAATAATAACTCCCATGGCCCAGTAGAACTGAACTTCACACTTTAGGGAACAAAGTAGCTATATCTGAAGCGTAGCCCTTGCCGTGTGACTCTCCAGTCTTTATTTAAAAAAAAAGAAATGGTTTTTGGTTTTATTCATTTCAAGGAGAGGGAGAGAGGGCTAGAAAGAAACATCAATGATGAGGGAGAATCAGCCGCCTCCTGCACACCCTTTACTGGGCTTGAGCCTGCAACCCGGGCCTGTGCCCTGACCAGGAATGGTCATGGGTCGACGGTCACTGAGCCACACCGGCTGGGCTCTCGAGTCTTTCTAAAGCCCCATCCTGGAATCAAAGTTCGTCCAACTTGGACCAGGGCTTTTGTACGCACAGTCTCATCTTTTGTACTCTGCTCACCTGGCCAGGTAAACGTGTTGAGGTGGACACATTCCCATCTGTGCTGTCCAGTTTGGTGCCCACTGGCCACATGTGGCCGTGAGTGCTTGGAATGTGGCTTGAATGACTGAGTTTTTACATTTTCAAGTTTTTTAATTGATTTAAATTTAGTAGCCACATGTGGCCAATGGGTAGCTTATTGGACAGCACAGGTACAGCATTAGAAGGAAAATGAAGACCAAGTAACAGTGTGAGACACAGCTGAATGGTTCACCTGGCAGGTACTGGTTCAGTGGGTTTTCCAAACAGAGATCGAAGGGCTGAAGGGGGATGTACTCCAAGTTAGGCCAGGTGGGCGGCCAGGTTTCTGGTTGGCTTTGTCACTGTTCACCTTTTCTGCAGTCCATCTTCAGGTTTCATGTTGCCAGGGCGGGGAAGCCTGGTTTCTGCCACCTCGGCACAGATGGCATCGCTTGCCAGCGG